TGATTAAATAAACATATTTTAGAGGTTTCAAAGTAATTATCCTGATTTAAGTACATTATCCAATGACTATGTTTGAGATTTTACCCCTAAATGTAAGAAATGAAAAAAACTTACTTTTGCATGCGTTTTCTGCTCATCCAGGCATTCCAAACACTGGTGCTAATGTATTGGACCCTACAAATGTGTGAAAACTATGGACTATTAGTGTCATCTATCCATGAAATAGCGAAGCTCCATAAGTAATTTAGCAGCAAGTTATAGAGGCTGTCCCTTTCATCCCTTGTCCCTTTCATCCCCACCCTCCCCTATTGTGTGGTAAACTTAATTGTAGAGGAAATGAAACTTGTTGTTAGGGTACCCAGTATTTTGTAATGCATGTTGGATAGTGTTAAGTTCCTGCTGTAAGAGAAAACTATTGAATGATAAGAGAAAGGCCCCTTCTAATTAGGAAGGCAATGGCTATGTATTTTTATGTAGGAGGCTGATAGGAGCTATGTGGAATGAACAATGGTAATTATTTGAGCTTGTGAAACATACTGAATTCCAACTGGTTTGTGTTGTAGTGTCTTAGAGATCAAGAAAACTATTGGAACTATTGTTATGCTCAGTATCTAGTGAGAATGTTATTGAGAGAGAGATACTATTATTTAGTAGACTAAGAACGATTTTAAAAATTTTAAATAATTCATCCCAAGCAATGAGGGCTCATTGCTTGGATATTTAACGATGAGCAGATAGTTAAATGATAGTTAAATGAGGATATTTAACGATGAGCAGATAATTAAAAATGCAAGATTCTGAATTAGGCAGAGCAGTCTCAGCCAAAAAGCTGACAATGGTAAACTCACAGATACTTCTTGTTTTTGTAACTACTGTAGATGTGAACCTTGATTTTAAAATAATTATTGTTATTGTGGGGGTACAAAATATCATGTGAATGAATCAACACGATAAAATGTAAGTGCTCAACCAGGGGATAAATTTATAACAAGCGTGCTTGGTGGAAACAACGCTTATTAGGGGGAATCCACTGGACTCAATAGGGACTAGACAAGACAACCATTGAATACTATAACAATATTTCTTTAATATACTTGGGAGGATACAGTACTCCCAAGATAAAGATGAGACACAAGAATACAGAGTCCGACAAATCTAGTATATCGCGAATCGATAACAAAAATCTCCCGACAATAAATTGCTCAAGCTGACGTAACAAGAATACATGGAAACATACCGACATAAATGAGGCTTTGATGATCTTTTCTTCTCTTCCACTCCGGGTAGGGAAAAGTTCCAAAGTTCTAAAAATCTCTACGGACTTGCTTGCACAGGCTCTATATCTTCATTCCCGCACTTCACTCCACTGTCCTTACTCATCTACCGTTTTCTCCACTCTCCACTTTCCCTTCATCCCTCTCCCTAAGACACACCCCGTCCATAAAACACTCACCCCTCGGTCACACACCCCTGAATTACATAACTCCTCTCCACCGAGTTAGACCCACCACATGGCGAAGGGGGGGCATGAACAGACATAAGGCACAGTTAACTACTGGATGTAGTATTTCTCTAATAAAACCTGCAGGATTGATCAATGATTTTCTGTTAACAGGGTTTTAAACAACAAGACGGCTTTGAAAGCTTGGACAAAGCATTTACATATATTTTATAAAAATGGAAAGAAGTGGATGTATGCTAGAGAGGGCTGTATTTTTACTTTAGTGTCATAAAAATAAACGAAAGTTAAAGAGTATTTTTCACCCAATAAGGTTCTGAGGAGTTAGGTGAGAGCCTTTTTAAGTTGTAAGTGGGATTTGATCTTTTATTAACTAAGGATCTAAGTGGCCACCTTGTTTTAGTTTGGACTTCAAAGAACATCTTGGGACAAGAAATATTACCTGGCGATTTTAAAAGTGAAGAAATATTTTTTCTGTTACTGATTTATTGTACGCTGCTTCTATATGGCTCTGTCAATTTGAAATATTTCTGCATATGATATTTTTATTTCTGTTGTTCCATTTTGTTCTTGTCCCTGAAGATGATGATTTGTATCATCAAGAATGTTTGAATTTATTAAAGAAGTTTTAGTAAAATTTGCATATATTTTATTAATATCAATAGACTGTTTATAATGTTTGCATAATAAATACATGTTTATAAATCATAAACTAAGACAAATTTCCATGCAGAAGCGGTGTGTCTGCATTTCTAGCACTTAAACACTTTCCTATAGTTTTTTGCTTAAATATTTTAATTTGTTCCATAGTAAGTGCATGTGATGGAAGGATGATTCTTATAACTTTAGTTTCATTCCACAAAATATCAGCATCTTTTGTTGAATTGTTTTTCTGAGAAATAAAGAATGCTGAAGATGATCTATGAAGTAGACTAAAAACATTTGAAGTTATATTAGAGTGATTTTCATGTTTATTGTTATAGCAAACATATCCTTTTAGCATTTTGTTTAGTTTTTACATAAATTTATTTATTCTATCTTTAATAATAATGTTTATATCGCAAGTAATAGTTACATACATTAATTGCACAACTTAGTTACAGTAGAACCTCCATTATCCGGATTGTTCAAAATAAACAAAAATTTTACGAATTTGCTGATTTGCACTTGGCGAATTACGACACTGTTTATGTACGTGATGGAATGCATAACTTTTTTTTTGTTTCAACAACGTCTCACCCAGCACAGTGATCGTAAACTCTTAAATATATTTTACGTAGCAATAAAAATATAACTTGACATACGTATTTATAAATAATTTATATTCAAATTACATCNAAACTTGATAGTAAAGTGAGAAGATATACTTATTGTTTTTAATGTTAAAGCATCAGATCCTCAAATAAAAGGCTGACGTTTGATCATTTTAATAGTGAAAAATTTTTACCTATTGTTATTTGTTTTTTAATGAAGTTATTTCTTCAAACCAATGTAACGGGTACTTATGTGGTTATGTAAAAAGGATTAATGGATAGACTCGAAAATTAAATATTTTTGTAAATAGTCTTAACTTCTAATTTGAAGAAAATATCCTGAGTTCATCATGAAAATAATTTTTTTTTGTTTTTAATTGCTATTAGTGTTGCTTCTTTTTAAATTTCTATAACAAATATATTTATACTGAAATAAATGCAGGAAAAAAACAATGAAAATATGATTTGTGAGAGAAATTGAACTAGAAGCAAAATTGAATTAGCTCTGAAGCTTTGGTTTAACTTACAAGGAGAACTTACTAAGTATTACTTGCAAAACGTGTAATATTTAGTACTAACATTTATTTAGTAGTTAAATACACATTATTTACCTACCTAGCAGGATATTTCTCTGGTCAATATTTCTATTTTTTCATGAGAAAGTAAAACAAGGATTGTTTGATGAGCAGAGTGAAAATGTAAAGCTGATTAGCAGTGAAGTTGCCTTATGATGAGACATTTTGTTGTAAGGCAATGTACTAGTAAACTTGAGAAAAAGAAGGAATATAACCAAATAACAGCATTGGTGGGAAAATCTCACTCTTAAAAAAGTAACTATGGATACTACAAAATTATTGTTACTTATTATGCTAGAAGTGGATGTCAACCAATAAACAAAGTACTTTGATTTCTACAGGGTGTTTGGAAAGTCACTGTGCACTTATATATTTATTAACAGACATGTTTCAATATAGAATATGGGAGGTAAATATGAATGATAATTATATACAATGTTGAAAGAGACTACAGGCTTGGATCCTTCTTATTTTTTCTTATATCCTCATCTTCAATTTTTCAGAAAAGAAAAATTAAAGATGAGGATATAAAAAAGTATAAAAGGTGATTTATGAAACCACCCTGTCTTGATCTCTGAGTATGCTTACTTGCAATATTATTAAAGTTCGGTACCAATTTAACATGATTACATCATAGATTAATAATAAATTTATATGTAAGTAACAATATCTTACCGGTGTTAATGAACTCACTTGACAAACCTTTAACAATTCAATCTACTTGGGTTGGCACATGCCTATATCAGGCCACATTCCCAGTATTCAAAAGGCTCAAATGGGGATCAGAATTGGGACCCCATAACCAGACACACTATGGTTGAGTACAGCCAACAACTTCATATCTTGTGTAAAGAAATTGCAGCCAAAACAGGCACCAATTTGGCCTATCAAAGATCCCCCTCTATATATACGTTATTGCGCAATGTGAAAGACGAGTCTGTCAATCTCAGGGCTCAGGATATGTACAGTGTCCCAATAAAAGATGACAGGTTTAGGTGAGACTTGGTGTACATTGGCTCCACCAAATGTTCCATCAAACAGAGAGCCTGTGAGCACAAATATGACATAGACCATGCATGATACACCACTGCCCTTTCCACCTATGCCATCAACACAGAAGTTCACATGGACCTGTCCAACACCAATCTGATAAATAGGGCCTTTCACATGGATCACATCAGGGTCCTCGAGGTCCTTGAAATATACATGGGCCAGCCTGACGGATAGATGTATCAACTTTAAAGACAGCAACGCATTATTGTACATCTGGTGCTACGTATGCGAGGAACAAGAGGTTGCTGATGCTCCGTGAGTGTGTATTATTTACGGTTATACCAGTTCCGCAATTAATAGACTTAGATGGGACACCCTATGTATTTATACATAGATGGCATGATCTTGCAACGAATAAATACAGTTAATAACCATGTTCCAATTTTATTTTAAAATTTAACATTTGAAATTGTTCAATACAAGGCATTCTAAGTTTGGAATTCTTTCTCAATTTAACCTGAAACAGACCTCGAATGAGGCCTAAAACATTCGTTTCACAAATTTTAAATGTTACCAGACATAAAGGTTTGTCAAGTGTGTTTATATGTAAGTATCTATTCTAACCATGTAATTTATATTTAAATGTAAAAAATTTATTATATACTTGAATTAAATTTAAAATAATATCAACTATTATTTTATTTTATTATTTATTTGTAGCATTATTAGTACAGCTTTGTCCACATTTATGAAAGAAGGTTTTGATGTTAAAGCACTTCGAGCATTCAGAGTTTTAAGGCCTTTGAAATTAGTTTCAGGTGTTCCAAGTGAGTAATATTTAAATGAATTTAAATTATTAAAAAATTCTTTTATTTATATCATAGAATTAGAACAAATATTACTTTTTAATATAATTTTATATATATATTTATTTATTTTACATCTAAAAATTTCAGCTTATTTCTTCACGATTTAAAGAAACAAACTTGCAAACTAGCTCTGCCAAAGGCTTTTTAAGATTAATGTATTTTCAAAAAAGTTATAAGGAAAGAGAAAGTATGGAAACCTAGTTGTTAAAGCTATAAGTGGTTTCTCTGAATATGTAAACAATAAAATAAAAATCTCAAATACAAAAACAAAAATAAAAATTAATTTTATTTACATTTTCACACCAGTATGATACACACTTATTGTGTTTAGTACAATATATTGACCATAGCCTCTCCTTTGTTCAAAATCCTGGTTTTTACAAAAAAAAAACTTATACCTAGATGCACTTATATGATTAAAATAGATAAGATAGAAATTGGAGAATGTGGGCCAAATTGGATGGAATTCAGAGTTCTAAAAAATTGATTAGGGACTCACTTTTGAATTGTTTTCTTATATATGTTTGGTTCCTTACACTGTATGTTATAGTTGTTTGACTATCCACTATCCACTAACAAGATTGACTTTCCAGTCAGTGTTTTTAGTGGGTAGAGACAAAAGTAAAGCAGTTCTCGTGTCTATTTTCTTCCTTCTAGTCCATTTTTTCTCCTTCCTTTTTGTTTTAGTTTATCTACCAGCTCCTATCCTGCAAGTTCTTTTCATGCTAGTACTTTTACTGTTCTAAAGTTAAGCTTTTCATTTTCCTTTTGATTGTAGTGAACTACATTTAAAAGGAAAATAAAAAACTTAACTTCAATGTTCCCACATCCATATATATATTAAAAGGGTGGCTCCTCCTCTGGCTGTTATCCAATCTAGCATGTGGCCCACAAAGAAGGAAGATTCTAGAATATAGAACAAAGAACAAGCAGTGGAGAAGGTATTATGCAATAAATAAGAAAATGATTAAAAAAATACTAGCTGTAGAATGCTATACAAAAAAAAAAAATAATAAATAAAATTGGAATTATTCTAGTATGAGATAATGTATGAAATCACAAATGACTATATTTCATATAATATTAAATCTAATGTTACATATTTAGAGTTTATCTTTAAAATTTATTTTTAGTAAATGTTTTTAAATGTATTAAGTTAAAATGATAAACTTTTGAAGACAGTTCGATCAAGTGAAAAAAATATATCAAATAAATTAAATGTAGTCAATTTAAATTAGCTTTATTATTATTATTATATATTTTTGACAAGACTATGTCTTGTTTATAAAATTGCAGTGCTGTACACCTTAGATGTGTAGGGGGACATGTCAGGAGTTGCAATTTGGCACAGAGTATTAGGTGCCCAAAATCATGTGCACATAAAAAAAATCAGACTTGTAGGTATTCAGGGGACCAAGAACTGAGTCAGAATAAAATACAAAATGGTGACATCTTTCTACAAACAATTAAAACTCCAAAACCTTTAAACATCCAGTAGTAATCAATTTAATAATAAACAAACGTTTTCGATTGTACTCTCGGTCTTCATCAGGTTTAAAATCAGTTAGATTCTAACCTGTGCAAGTGTAGAACAATGATTATGAAATTAATTTTGAAAATTAAATTTGAAAAATGGAACAGCACAAACTGATTTTAAAAGAATACAGTTATGCATGTGCATTGCCATGACGATGAATTGCCTGTTTGTAGAAAGAATACAGTTATGCATGTGCATTGCCTGTTTGTAGAAATGGCATTGCCATGCCATTTCTACAAACAGGCAAGAGTGCGAGATTTGAGCATGCATATATCATTGGAAAGTTGGGAAATGCAAACGTTGTGAAATCGAATTTTGACAAACGAATCTTTGAAAAAACCCATTTACCTCTCTGGTCGTGACCTGCTGACCTTGATCAGTTGACCCAAGATATCTCGTTTCAGCATCGGAATGCTTTTGAAACTAGATGCGCTTGTTGTTATAATTTTATATTAAAAGTAACTCTGAAATATAACTTTTTTCCGTTTTTACATTCATTAATATATTAATTTTGTTTGTGCAAACTAAAAAAACTATTTTGGATGATACAATAGCCACGATTTTTTTTTCTTTTCAAAAATGGGAAATTTTCATTAGGAATCGACAGAAATTCAACCTGGGGCGACATGCAATGGACAGAAATTTTGACATTGGATAGGTTAATATTACTGAAAATGCCTCGTGGCTGTGGCCGAGGCCGGCAAAGTTTGAATGATCGCGTCAAGCCCTGAGTCTCTGAAGACATAGTTTTGTCCCAAAAATCGCCCTTGCCCTTTTACTTGTTTTCTTTGTAAATGAACTGATGATATTCTGCAACCACCAAAAGCAATAGAATATATAAATAAAACTGTTTGTTATTAATTCATCTTAACATCAAGAAGTGTTTTTCAAATAATAATATTTATTAGTATTTAAGATTTCTTGAAGAACATTTGCATAATTGTTTATCTTTCTGGTCTTTTCTGATGTAGTAGTAATTAGTAACAGAACATTCTAATGTCATCCTCCTAACTATGAAATTTACTTCCATATTTGTCTTTTAAAAAGTCATGATCAAAATCATAAGGCAGTGGTGTTGTGGTGGTGTGGAGGACAAAAAAAAGGATGACAAAGAAGTAACCATAAATTAAATAGGATATTTATTCAACTACAGCTACGTAGTCCTTCATACACCTGGTTCGTTTACACTAAACACACTTGATCCCAAACTATAGTACGTGCACAAGTTCGAATCCGTCCGACAAAATTCTATGTTTTCACAAGCAGAAGACATGTGCTCGCGACAATAAAAGTTATGGTTTGAGATACTACAACTAACTTAAATCTACCTTAATCTAGCTTATATGCTAAGGAAGAAGGGTGAAGAAATTAAGAGATACGAAGAGAAGAGACAAGTATAAAGGACAGATTTGTGGGGGTACCCGGGTAAACTTGGGAGTCTCCAATCTTCTCTATATCAGTACTTGAATCAATTTTCTTCCTCTCGTTTCCGTCTCTTGAGAATTCGAGAGCGTTTTTGAAGTCTTAATCTGGGTGTCCTTCTAATTTTCATCCGTTTGCAGACCACTTCCAAGCCTTTTTTTTTTCTTTGTCCCACTAGGCGACAAACCTCTAGCTTGCTCTTTCCTACGTCTGCACACCTTGGACGCTGACCCCAAAAGTGTCTTGTTCATTTTCCTGATGGCCTCAGGGCTTCTTAATGTCCCCTTTGTCTTCTCCCTTTGTCCTTGGACAAAGGTCCCCCACCCATAGAAAAAGAATAGGTTAGAAAGTTCTAGAAACACGTTAAAGACAAAGGAATTTAGGAGAAATAAAACTTATATCTACCCCTATTTACAAAATCATGGCGTACCGCCACAATGTAACTACAGTGTGAGCCATTTGGTGCAGTCTGTCAATTGCCTCCCTTCCTTTGGGAAATACATAATACACATCATATCTATTTAGACACAATCTGAAAATTAAGTTTAACAAAAATAATTTTATTTCTTTTATTTATAAATCAAAATACAAAATTACAAATATATTTTTCTTGCTTTTTTACTAGCAAAATTATTTATGATTCTATCAAAATCTACTCAATTGTTAGTTGATGTTATTTATTTAGTTAGATAGATAGATGACTGGCACAACTCAATTGCAAAAGGAAAAGTATGATGAACAGTGGCAAGACACTACTAATTTCAAAGGGGATAGCATACATTTTAAATTAAGTAAATTAAAAAATATGATTAAAAATTGCAGCCTGGCATTGTAACAATGTCAGAATAAAATAATTGCCTGTTAGAAAATAAATATATTCCAAAAAAAATTATATTTGTATATAATAGAATTTTAAAAATGTTAACAGGATTTATGATAGTAAATTCAACCACAAGGACAATAGCAAAATAGGAAACCTAGTTGTTAATAATGACAATAACAATAAAGAGAAATAGGAAAATCAAAAGAAAATGAATATAAAAATTAAAAATTATTTACAGTAATGAATTGTGCGATTGATATTTCAATTACTTATGTTTTTATTTTCTTCTTTTTCCAACATTATTATTACATGCATTCAACATAAATACATTACTAATAAATTAATAGATTAATTAGATTCATATTTGCCTAATCCAAGTTTTAAAACTTACATAAAATAAAATAAAATTGTAAGAAACATTATTTTTACTGATTTGACTATTACATATTCTTTTATATTAAAATTGTTTCATATAAAATCTTCATAATTAAATATTTTTAGGTTTACAGGTTGTACTTAATTCAATTCTTCGAGCCATGGTGCCATTACTTCATATTGGTCTACTTGTCATATTTGTTATTATTATCTATGCTATCATAGGATTAGAATTATTCTCAGGAAAAATGCATCAGACATGCTATAATAATTTCACAGGTTAGTATTATATTAATTTTTATTGGTAGATTTTTAATTAAAAAATATTTATTGCTAATGAATATACAGTAAATATTTTTGATGATATCAATAATTTATAATCAATAAAATAATTAATAAATAATTTTATAGTTATATAATTTAATGTTTTTATGCTATTATAGAGTTAGAATTATAATAATATAAATATTCCTCAATGTATAGAATAAAATATTCTACAAATTGTGAAAAAAGTTTTTTGTGACTGGAAAAAATTTGAAACCAACATCATTGTCAATTAGTGTAAATATATATATAATATTATATTATATTTACACTTAATTGAATATAGGTTTCCTCATTTTATGCCAATTGACAATAACACTGGTTTAAATTTTTTCCAAGTCTCAAAAAGTTTTCTCTACAATGTGTAGGACATTTTTTGCAATTGCTAAATGTAAGTGTTTTTTTTTTTTACACCTTTTAGTAGCACTGGGGGTATTAATAGCAATTTTAGATTTTCTGCATTTTCTCAATGTTGGGCATTTCGAGCCTGGTCTCTGTAGAGATTTTTGATTCATCCTCTTCAAATAATTCCCAGCTTTTACAAAAACATTCTTCAAACTGTCATTCAGTTTCTGCTTGAGAGGATTCATCTTTGAGAGATCTGCTTCATATGTAATTCTTTTTCTTGTTCAGTTAATTGGAGAATTGCTCATGATATTCTTCTTCAGAAATAATGAAGCAGAATCTTTTAATCAGAATCTTAGAATCAGAGTTAAAGCAACTTTGATTCTAAGCAGTGTTTATTATTCTAAAGTGCCAATTGCTCACATAATATTTCACCATTTTAAAATTAAGCTATTGTGTAATAATAAAAAGAGAAAAAGAACAGCTATGTCAGATAAAAAATTAGTGAATCCAAATGTCCAAGTCTGCTTTGTGAAATAGACCCTGATTGGGAGCAAAGTTAGGGTTGCCATAAGTTCAAAACCATAAATCAAGATGCTTTGTAAGTGAGATAGCATTATGGTAAAATTTTATGGATACCCAGCATTAAATAGGAAGTAGCCATTCTGGAAAATAAGTGATAAATTTTAATTAAACTAATTTCATTGAATTATCAATTATTAAGTTTTTATATTATTTGTTGAATCAATCATACTTGTTGGGTTACAAATTTTAACTAAGTTTTTGTTAGAAAACCTAGCTGCTCCCATTGTGGACATGGCCAAAACCATGATAGACATGATTAAAAATAAAGATTCTCTTAGTCCCATAGGACAGAAACAGTAAAAAATAATTGTTATTGAAAAACTCCAAGAGCCTGCACAAACAACCAAAGTTATTTGTGCAGGCTCTTGGAGTTCCTCAGTAACAAGTATACCATAGGGTTGCATTTAAAAGCCATATGTACATTATTGGCCCTTACTATTTCCATGTAAGTTTGTTTGAGATGCTGGTTATACCTTATGCCTTGTATGGTTTGTTTTTCTTGTTGTGTTTGGTAGTATGTTAGGAATATAATCTGATAAGGCCTTTAATTATTTTTTCTGTGGTAACTATGTTAAGCTGCAAAGTTTTACAATGCCTTTCTTTTTTTTTTCTAGCACTTTCTTTAATTTCACTAATGATTTCAGCCATTTAAAATGACCAAAAATGTTAGTTAAATTAAAGAAAGTGCTAGAAAAAAGAAAGAAAGACGTTGTGAAACTTTGTATAATAAGTTCTAGTGTATTGAATATAGAATTTTTAAGCTGCAATGTTGTAGATGTGTTTGAGTTCCTGTGCCCTGTCTTTGTTGTTTGAAATGCAGATAAAGACTCTTCTAACAAAGGCTCAGAAGGCTTCTTACTTAAACATGAAGGGATCATGGGAAACTGCTAAGATGTATATAGGATATATGAAGGTTTCCTGTAGACTGAGATGTAAATATTACTTCTTTGGATGCTGATGTTAAGGTCCAAGAAGTGTGCCAAGGACAGGCCTTCTTGTTCCACAGAGAGAATAAGTCACATGAATTGAAATTAATGGTGTTCAGAAACTCTTAGAGATTTGGTCTTTGACACCAGATGTTTAGGATGTTATTTTCAAGGTGTTGAATTATCAACTCACTATAGTGTCTGAGATGAGGCTTCCCTTTCATTTCCCTTTTCCCTGTATGTATAACTTTCCTTTGAATCAAGGTATCATTGTATCTTTTATATGAAGTAAATTGCCAATTAAATCAGTATTCCATACACTTTTTGTTCCTATTGTGTTATTATTATTCCTAATTGTGTTAGAATGGTAATACATTTTTTTTTGTATCTTGTAGAGTTCTGGAATCTTTCTGCCAACAGATTTTTGGCAGTTATGGAAGTATTGTAAATTAGTTGGAGTCTTCAAATATTAGTTATATGGGAGTTTGAGAAACTTTTTATTTCTTTGTTAACATATATAAACAGTTGAACTAACTTATACTGTACCATACATCTTAAGTTCCCTTTGTACAATAAAGCAATCAAATAAAATAATTAAATAATAATTTTTATTGAGAATGTTAAAAATTCTAACATATGCTTTAATATTGTATTGAATAATTGAAAAAACATGAGAGTATAATTAATAAAATATTCATAAATGTTACTTTATCAAAATAAAAACAATTATTTTAAACAAAATAGAATTACTATAATTTTTTATTGAAAGTCTTTTGATTTTGTTGATTAATATTACTATTTTATCAAATAATTCTATTTTATATAATTTTGATTTCATATTTATATTTTTCTATAGTTGGAAATTTATATAATACTATATTTTTAATTTACTTTTTATTAAACTAAACCTACTAAGAAAATTCTAAATTATACTATTTAAATCAGATTATAAGTAATAATGTTGTAATTGGAGATTTCTTATGAGAAAATATGCCTAAATATTTATTATTATTTATGCCTAAATATTTCTTATTATTATTATGAAATTATTTGTATTTGATTCTGATGAAACCGTGCTGTAGTTTACTTTTCTTTATACAGACACACTACAGCGACTTTTTTCACACTTGGCAGATTATTCATCTCCAACTGAATAAAGAGATGAATAATCTGCCAAGTGTTTTGAAAAAAATCACTGTAGTGTGTCTGTATAAAGCAAATTATTTGTAATTTATTATAACTTATATAAACTTAATATGTAGTAATTAATTTTTATAGTTTAATAATTATATTTAATTTTTTATATACTGAGTTTGTATCAGACTTTTGTTCTGAATGAATTTTTTAATTTTAGTGAATAGGTATTCTATAAAAATTAATATTATTTAGGGTTAATTGCCTTAGAAGAACCTCATCCATGTGGAGGAGGTTACCATTGCAATGCTTCTCTTGCTGAAGTTTGTAGAACATATTGGGAAGGACCAAATTATGGAATTACAAATTTTGATAATTTTGGCCTTGCAATGCTCACAGTATTCCAATGTGTTACGAATGAAGGATGGACAAATGTTTTATATAATGTAAGTAAATATTTATAGATAACATATGCACTATTTGATAGCATTTAAAATACAGTCAAACTTTGGTTTTCAAACAATTTCGTTCAAGAACAAAATTCTGAATTCATATTTATCCCAGTTGTTATCCAATAACTCTTACCAAACAAACTATTTGGCAAGAGCTGGCCACAGATTAGAGATACATAGACAGTCAACTTCATATACTTCCTATGTTAAAGAAAGTCAATGGCCTGACGAATGAATGACAGGACTACTGATTCAGAAGTTAGTGCCACTGAGAGTGCCATGCCATTAGATGTCATGACATGAATCATTGATGATGATGCTATCTAAATTAGATTTCAATGCACATGCAGAAATGATACTATTTCCATTTTTCAGTGTGCGCCACAGCTGAATCTAAATCAAATTACTGTAATTCATAAAAACTAGATTAATTGTAATATTCACATAATATAAATGCATCCAAGAACTCATGTTTTAAGGTGCTTAAGTTAAATTAAACAACAAAAATTTATTAATATAATATTATATATTATAATATTAATATTCAATATTTATTAATGCAATATTATATTATATATAATATTATATTGCATTTTCAGACATTTTTATGCATGAAGTACAGCTAAAAAGGTAAAAAAAAAAAACAAAAGGCATTGTTTTGGCAGTCAAGAACGATTTAATCCATTTCATATTGTTTCTTATGGGAAACTTTGTTTTGGTTTTAGAACAGATTGGTTTTCAAACATCTTTTAGGAATGAATTAAGTTCAAAAACCAAGGTTTGACTATAGCAGAACATTAACATAAATTTTTAACAGCAGAATTCTACCCTTGTCTTATTTGAAAGTGTTGTTAAATAAAAAAGGACATTGATATGAAAATTTAAATCATAATTGAGTTTAAATAGATAATAATAATTTCATGCAATAAAATTTTACATTCAAAAATTTTTTTATATTATATTATATTTTNATCTTTTTCTGGCTTGTGCAAAGAATTGTCAATTCCTACAGAAATGATGTCTAAATCTTGGAGATAATCCATAAGTAACATGTAAATTAATATCTCCAAGCACACACAAAGCAGGATGCACATCACCATTACAACACAAACTGCCACATGACTTAAGAGGTACTGGTATTGAATGAGTTAGAACATACATTGCAACAGATATAGCTTTTGGGAATCAGAATGAAATGGCACAGCCAATAAGGTCTCTCTTACGTTAGAATTGTCTTCCATGAAATGTATTTGAAAGGCTATGGAGTTAGGATATGCACATGAATACGTCTCCATTTTGATTGGGAATGGTTAATAAAACATGGAACTAGACCAACAATATTTAATTAATACTATTTTATCAAAATATATTTTTTAAAGTAATGTTTTCACTCTGTAATTAATTATTTTTATTTTCATTTAATATAAAAAAATGTAAATTCTCATCTTTAATTAATATGTTAGTAATAAATATATAGCTAAATTCTTGATAAAAAATGTCATAAATATATCTTGTATATTTTCATTACTGTTCTAAAAGCTTGATTATACAATTCAACTAAAATACAAAATATTTTATTTGTAAGAAATAGATAAAGTATTAATGCCCAGAATTAAATAAATGTAAATTTTTGTTTAATATTTTTAATAAAATTACTGTAAATTTTCATGAATTGGAAAAAATCCTATGAGGTGACAACATTGCTTTTAGTGTATATATTTCATTAGTGCCCTCAGAAAATCAGTCAAAAATGATAAACTGCAAATTAAATTTTAACTAAAATTTTTTAAATGTAAGTATTTATTTTATAACTGGAAAAATAAATAAATAAATAATTTTCAAAAGTGTCTTAAAGTACTCAATTAATTAATATAAAAATAATTAGTGATGGGCTTAATGTAGACTAATTTTTTCACATCCAGTTCAATATTACTGAGCAGCTTCACTAAACTGCTTCCTATTGATTAATAAACTGCTTCATTTGACTATTTGCAGTTGGAGTAAGATGACAAACTTTTTATTATAATATTTTAGATATGTTGCCAAATTCTTTTAAACATTGTGTGAAGAAACAATTGGCAACATTTTGACATTAAAACATTGAATAAAATTATGATAAAAGTTTTATTGATATTGAAGTTTCAGTATAATAGTTAAATTTATCAAAATGAAACAATAAGGTTCATCCTGCCTGTATTTCAGTTTTATTTAAATAAAAACAAAACTTAACTTTGCCATTTTAATCCTTTTCTCCAATATATATTTTTATACAATATTAGTAAGAAAATGCTATTACTGAGCTTAAAGCTGTGACAGTTTATGAGAAACTATAAATTTCCTAGTAATTTCATAATGGATTGATTAATTTCTTTAATAGTCTGTACTTTAGTTCATTTCATTCATATAATTGCAACTTATGTATTTTTTCATTATGTTTATGAAGAGAAGTGCATTTTGTAATCTACACATAAAGTCATATGTTTCAAAAACTGAATTTACAGTTTATCTTCTTGAAGTTCAACAATAAAACTTTTTGTTTTAAAATGAGGTTTTATTCTTCTCATCTTCCATGCCACCTTTCTTTTTAGTGCTCCTTAAATCTTCTGCTTCCAAGGTTGCTATAGCACCGATTTCAGAAATACTGGCTTAAAGTAAGGTGGAATTTATTTAATAATCATTTATCATTTATTTAATAATAGAGATTATATATTTTTATTCTTAAAAAATTATTATTATATGATGAAAAGTAAAAAATTAACTCTTGCCATTGATATCTGATATTGTTTTGGCAGTCCCAGAAAATGGTTTATTTAGTGAATATTTAATATGTTCAACAAAGCTGGAAGTATTTATGATGACCAACAAACTTGTTGTGGTCCATAGAAATTTTTAAGCTATTTTCAAGCTAACTTTGAACCATCCTGAATAAATTTTAAGGTGAAAAGGGTGTTGTCAATGATCTGGCAAGCCCTGTTAGACATAACATTGTAGCCGTTAATTGAATGATCATTATGCATATGGCAATACTTATGCAAATTTACTGGAAATTTGTGTTTAGGTGTTATTCTGTTCAAGTATAGTTCCAGTTTGCATGTGCAGTTGTTTTTTTTTGTAATACTTACAACACAACATTAAATTTATATTTGTATTTTTGAACGGTTATTCAAATTATGTTGCTTTAAAAATTTTTACAAATACGCATTAGTTCCAATAACGTTCCATCAGGTAATCATTCAGTCGTACCTGAAGAAGAACTCTGAAGGAGTTGGAAAATGTTTGTACAGTGTCCAGTTTTTGTATTATATGCACTGGACTTTGGTTCTGTGTCCGTTGTAAAATTGTTTACTTCCTATAAATGCAGAAACATTAATTTTTTTCATTACAATTTATCACTCTTGAATTGTGATTATTAATAAATATAAAATTTTCTCAAAATCATTTATTGGGCTGCAATTTAAAAAAATTGTACATCTGTAAATTCCCATTGTCATCTGTCTGTCCATTTGTCTGTCTTTCTTTAATCTTAAGAATGATGTTAAATAAATGAAATTCAAGACTAGATATGGAAAGCTTAGGGACAAGAGGCCCAATTAACTATATATGAACATCTGATGCAAACTAGAAGTCACATTATTTCAATTCAAAAATTTTCTCCTGAAAGGAGTTAGACATGACCAATACAACTTGATTGCTAATGGAAAAGTATGATGCATAGGAGCAAGACACTACAGTACTAATTTAAGGTGGAGAGCATATATTTTAAATTAAATAAATTAAAAATATGATTAAAAATTGCAGCCCAGCATTGTGATGATGTCACAATAAATAATTGCTTGTTAAAGTTACATATGTTCAGAAAAAATAAACAACAATATTTTTAAATATCTGAGTTTTTAAAGTTATTTTTGTTTTATTTTGCACTTAATTTTTTCCTTTCTTTCTTCTTTTCTCTCGCAACTAAAATGAGATTATTCAACTGAATAGTACAGCTTTGAAGAAGTATTATACTGTATTTGGTCCAAATACTGAATATCTGTGTTTAATATTTTTCCAAATACCAAATACTTATTTTGTAATTGAATATAGTCAAGTATCAAATAATACTGAATACCAACACTACTGGGACAATACTATCTGTTTCCACTATGTTCTTGTCAAGAAATGAGATACATAGAAGCACTAATGATAATATTTTGAAACGGTAAGGTAAAAGCATGGGTACTAGAAGGGCCTCATTTAGCAAATGAACTAAATCCAAAATAAAGAAATAGGGAAGAAAATGTTAATGGAGATGTATAAAAATTTGGAAATACTATGAATACTACAATATAAATGTGTACATTTATAAAGAAAAATAAATAACTAATAATATTAACTGTTGTTTTGTTATTGTTAAGTTTTCCTAAAACAGAAATTTATGTTTAGTCATCACATTTACATGTTGATAGTAATTTTTTAGAAGAAAGCTCTGATTATATATATATTGTTATATATATATATATGTATTATACTTTTTATTTATTTATTTTACAAAGATATATATATATTTGAATTTTGTAATTTTTTTCATTAAATTAATTTTACCAAAACTAATTTATTTATTTTGTTTTACTCTCAAAAAAGTATTCAGTCTTCTCTGTTATATTAATTTATGTTGTACAATGTGGAATATAATATGATGTAATTTAAAATTTCACTCTAGTTACTTCGTGATGTTTGCTGTTAAAAAGAGCTGAAATTAATATAGCTTCATATGGTATATATTTGGGTCTCAAAAGTAATTTTATGTTTTTATAAAATTATATAAAAATTATATATCAAAATTAAAAACTAATAATTATTTTATTAAAATTTTGTATTTATTATTTATATTCAAGTTATTTAATACAGAAAAATTTGAAAATACTGATAAAATCTTTCAATTTTCAGATTAATGATGCTGTAGGAAATGAATGGCCATGGATATATTTTATTAGTTTAATTATTATTGGCTCTTTTTTTGTATTAAACCTTGTACTTGGAGTTCTTAGTGGGTAAATATTTTTTTTTATTAATTACAATATTTTGTAATCATTTTTGATTTTTATTCTGATTATAAATTTATATAATGTTAAATATGCTAAATTTATAAATTTTGAAATGTAAATTCAATAGGATTCATTGAATTATATTTAGTGTTTTTTAGAGGGAAAAAAAATGGAATATATTTTCTTTTTGGTTGATGATTTCACAGATATAATTATGTGTTTATTTTTTTCTGAAAACAATTTTCACTTACAATGACAATGTTTTATTTGAAGCTATGCCTCTGCAAAAAATTGTAAAATGGATAAAAAATATCCTCTGGTGATGGAAAATTAAATATTATAAAAGTATATATGAATATAAAATTAAATATAAAGAAAAATTAAATATTTTTTTGAAAAGCCAATCTTTAAAAATATATTTGAAATTAAAATTAAGTTTTTAATGTCTCAATACTTTAGAACTGCAAAGTATACTGCTTTTTTAGGAATTGTGCATTCTATGTTTTTGGTAATTATTAACTATTGTCAAAATAACAAAACTTTTTTTTTTATTTAGATTTTTAAAAAATTATTAATTGGCATAATTCTAAGATTCAAATTTTCTATTGTTTGGAGGAAACTGTATCACTTTTAAAATATTTTTTAACAAAATGTATGAATTAAATGTAAATTTTATGTGATAGTTATCTTCAGTTTTATTTAATAAAAGATGTATAAACAAATGATTAAGTAAATTGAATATTTATTGAATTGTTTGTTTATACTGCAAAATTTTAATAAAAACACTAGTTACATATAAAATACAGTAGAACCTCGATTATCCGGACTAATTGGGGATGAAGGTAGTCCGGATAAGGAAAAATTCGGATAATCAAAACAAATACAGTACTTTGTCTTTTAATGATAATACAACACGTTTTTTTTTTGATGACATATTGGTAATATTAAAAGTAAATACTGTATTTAAATCGTGATCAAATTTTCAAGAAACAAATGTTCGTGTTGAATTTCGACTACTACTGACCAACGCTAACAGACTACCTATTATATCAATTAAATTAAATTATTCACAACCGTGAGGCAGATAATAGTGAGGGCTTATCAGACCAATGATGGGCACAAATGCTCAGGGATCAAAGTGAAAACAATTTAATAAACTCAAAAAGTTACTACATCAGTGTGAAAACAAAACCCAAAATGCATTTCGGACTATTTTTCCAATAGAAAACAGTCCCTCATCAGTTGGTATTAGTTAAAGGTAATGCTATAATAGAATTATACAAGGTAACGGTCAACTTAAAAATAAGCCTAAAGTCATACAATATAAAAATTGAAGACACCACTGTAATGGTATGAGTAGTAAGCATGGTTGTGGTATGGTTCTGAAATTAGTAAAAGTACAATAAAAGCAATAAAATTTGAAACTAACACTTATAAACGTAAATATCTTGAGCACATAGAGATTTTAAAAATTGACAATGTTAATAGAATTAATGATAACTTAGGTGTTAAAATTGACGAAGGATGGTATAATTATATCTTTTAAAATACTAAATATCTCTGTGATGTAATGTCCACATGTACAGTACTGTTAAAAAAACCGTTGGGAACTTGTAATTGTATCACATGTTGTCACCACTTGTACACCAGATGTAGACTGACACACACCTCCCTCACTACCACTCCTAGCACCTTGTTGTAAGCTGGCACCTGCTACTCTGTCATCTTACCTTTTTGGTATGTACATTACCTGTCTGTATAACTTTAGTCCATTAGTGTTAACTAATTATTGTCTAACTTATAACTGTTTTGTATCAGCACCCTGTATGTCATTCCACCATGCAAGGTCATGAAGATTTATTACACCTGTCTACACTGATATTGCCTACTGCTCATACTGTTATATTGGCATCTTCACCTTTATATTGTATAGTTTTATGCATAGTTTTAAGTTTACCTTACTTTGTATAATTTTTAATATACCACCTACTTTAGATAATACCTACTGTTGATGCTTACTACTCATACTATTACAGTGGTGTCTTCAATTTTTATATTGTATGACTTTAGACTTATTTTTAAGTTGACTGTTACCTTGTATAATTCTATTATAGCATTACCTTTAACTAATACCAACTGATGAGGGACTGTTTTCTATTGGGAAAATAGTCCGAAATGCAGTTTGGGTTTTCATTTTCACACTTATGTAGTAACTTTTTGAGTTTATTAAATTGTTTTCACTTTGATCTTTGAGCATTTGTGCTCATCATTGGTCTGATAAGCCCTCACTATTATCTGCCTCACGGTTGTGGATAATTTAATTTAATTGATATAATTATATCAAGGGCTAGAAGCAACTTTTGTATTAATTTAGACTACCGATTGTTTAAAAGGCTGTCTGGTGGTGCAAGAAGACGGATTTTATAAAATAAAAAGCAGTTGAAACTGCATTTTTATGAATAAAAATTTGACAAACTATTTATTGTTTTATGACAAGTAAAATTTTTTCGTCACGTTTGTGGCTTTTAAGTAATGCATAAACCTTCGAAACGCGAGGCCCTTCGGACCGCAAGGCATAGGAGGTGGCCCACGTTGCCCATGCCTTACGCCGCCCTTGGTCATAGAAACGATGTAATTTGAAAATAAAATTATTTATAAATACGTATGTCAAGTTATATTTTTATTACAATGCAAAAATATTTAAGAGTTTACGGCCACTGTGCCGGGTGAGATGTTGTTGAAACAAAAAAAGTTATGCATTCCATCACGTACATAAACAGTATCATAATTCGTCAAGTGCAAATCAACAAATTCGTAAAATTTTTGTTTATTTTGAACAATCCGGATAATCGAAAATCCGGATAATAGAGGTCCAGATAATCGAGGTTTTACTGTAATATACTAGTAAGTATGTGATGATTCCTTATGGAACAAGCTAAATAATCTTTAACAAAGTTTTTCATATGAAAAACATTTTTAGTGTAGTAATCACAATTTGAGTTCAGCTATTCCATATAATTGACATAATTTATAGTTTTAGATTCAAATCAAAAAGTTGAAATCTATATAAATATATAAAATTTAATTAACAGCTGTCTCTGTTTATTCAAAAATCACACAAGAATGGATAAACCAATTTCTATGAAACTTTGTACATATATTTGGAATAGTCCCAGAGAGGATATAGGTTACTTTTTATTTCCTAAATCATTCTATTTTTTAAGTTTTAATAAAATTATATTATTATTTGCAAGAGTAAATAGTTCACATCTGATTCTTATCACATTTTTAACATAAATAGGAAGTTTTGCATGGAGGCCAGTAGGTGTGAATTGAGCTGTGAAATTCTGATAGGATAGTTTAATGTTGCGGTTATCAATGACAGTGAATATTACTGAAAATGATCAAATGAAATTTGATTGGTCAGCCTGAACAAATTATTTGAGCAAAGCATATGAAATACTCAACCTATAGGAAATCTGAATGGATGAAGAGAAATTTTAGAAAGATTGATTTTTTCTTGAAGTGATGTTATACAAGAAATTTTTTGGAGAGAAAAATGAACTGACACATTCTCTGGTACTGAATATTTTTTCTGGTTTGGTAGGATTCCTTTTTATTCGGGTTCCATTTTGGACAGGCTCTACCACACTGTGTAATTTAGGTAAATATTTTAACTTTAACACAACCAGAAGAGTAAAATACTTATGAAACTCAGAATCAGACAATTACTGTACAAATATGGGATTCCCATTGCACAATTCAAAATTCCCATTATACATTTTGCATCTAGTTGCATATTTTAATATGCAACTAGAATGTCACCTTAATCACAAGTTCCTGGATTGCCTCAGAACACTACAGGCATTGGAAATTTGCAAAGCTGAAATCAATGGCAGGTGCATAAATTACAAGGAAGGGAAAAACCATTCATATGCCTAACAACATTTTTTCAATAAACCATCATCATTCAATATTTAGTAATAGTGGTAAAATGTTTAACAAAAGTTTTCAGTTTTATTTAATAAAAGATGTATAAACAAATGATTAAGTAAATTGAATATTTATTGAATTGTTTGTTTATACTGCAAAATTTTAATAAAAACACTAGTTACATATAAAATACAGTAGAACCTCGATTATCCGGACTAATTGGGGATGAAGGTAGTCCGGATAAGGAAAAATTCGGATAATCAAAACAAATACAGTACTTTGTCTTTTAATGATAATACAACACGTTTTTTTTTTGATGACATATTGGTAATATTAAAAGTAAATACTGTATTTAAATCGTGATCAAATTTTCAAGAAACAAATGTTCGTGTTGAATTTCGACTACTACTGACCAACGCTAACAGACTACCTATTATATCAATTAAATTAAATTATTCACAACCGTGAGGCAGATAATAGTGAGGGCTTATCAGACCAATGATGGGCACAAATGCTCAGGGATCAAAGTGAAAACAATTTAATAAACTCAAAAAGTTACTACATCAGTGTGAAAACAAAACCCAAAATGCATTTCGGACTATTTTTCCAATAGAAAACAGTCCCTCATCAGTTGGTATTAGTTAAAGGTAATGCTATAATAGAATTATACAAGGTAACGGTCAACTTAAAAATAAGCCTAAAGTCATACAATATAAAAATTGAAGACACCACTGTAATGGTATGAGTAGTAAGCATGGTTGTGGTATGGTTCTGAAATTAGTAAAAGTACAATAAAAGCAATAAAATTTGAAACTAACACTTATAAACGTAAATATCTTGAGCACATAGAGATTTTAAAAATTGACAATGTTAATAGAATTAATGATAACTTAGGTGTTAAAATTGACGAAGGATGGTATAATTATATCTTTTAAAAACTAAATTATCTTTGTGATGTAATGTCCACATGTACTGGTTAAACCATTAGGAACCTGTAATTGTATCACATGTTGTCACCACTTGTACACCAGATGTGGACTGACACACACCTCCCTCACTTCCACTCCCAGCACCTTGTTGTAAGCTGGCACCTGCTACTCTGTCGTCTTACTTTTTGGTATGTACATTACCTGCTTGTATAACTTAGTCTATTAGCATTAACTAATTATTGTCTAACTTATAACTGTTTTGTATCAGT